TAGACACGTAGCTAAAGGTACTAGCCTCCAAATGGTATAGTAGCACGCTGCTCTATTTATTTGCTTTTCCGCCATTCCTCTATAGGTCTCAGCAGTTTTGGATGAGATGACCTAATAATCGGCTAAAGAATTTTTATTAAGTGTATAACTCATAAATGTTGAACCGTTCACGAAATAATACTTTAAGGAGGTTCTATTGCACCGTCTGAATGAAGAACTCATAGAACAATTAATAAATTCTTCATAGGTTACCCATTCATAGTGAAAATAAACCTTAATTATCTCAGCCAGCGAAGAAAACCCATTGTGACTGGACTTGACCGGGAGACTTGCTACACTCCCACTGACGTGTACGCGTGCTAGTCTCCATGGCGTTGTGTGGGAAAGACATACTTTCATGGCTCTTCGCGGTGGTTGTAACCGGACATCAAATACGCAACGGGTCTGGACGGACGAGTGTGATGCAGCGGCAAGGGGAACCATGCGCACGAGTCAATCCCATTGGCAGGTCGGCCCAATCGGACCGGCTCACCGATTTGTCCCCCACCCGTCCTCGGACCAACGAGGACGGGTGGGGACATGCCACCTTTGAGATCGGAAAACTGGCACCAGCTTCTCCTAAAGAATAAAACAGTAACATGTTTATATAGCCACACGCAGTCAAAACCACTGAAACTACGAAAGGAAGTAGAGTGCATGGCGCATTCCCATGAACCGACTGAATAACGCATGAAAACTTGTTCTTTGCAACGACTTCATCTTTTTTTCTTACAACTGTCGAGGGTACTACTATCCTATCGTTTTGTCTTGGCCATCCTCCCTATCTAGAAGTAATAGTAACGTCCTGTAACGTGACGAATACGTTTCACACAAAGAAGCTTATAGATATTTAATTCAGAAATCGAAAAGTAAACACTTCTATACAAAGATCAAAAAGGTGAAGACAGAATAGCAAAAGCTACACAAATAACTAATCCATGTTACTACATAGCATCGCTAGAAGGCTGTAACATTTTACAATGTGACAAAAAGTTTAGGTTTAGGCTTCTCAAAGAGTAAGTGACTGAAAAAAAACTTCTTCGTGGGTGCTAATAAAAGGTACCAGCTTTGCTGGTTCGTTAGTTATTAGTGCTAGTTTACTTACAAAGCACACTTATTAGATATTTTAATACAATCACCAGGTTTCAAACCGTTAACTCCTGAATTAGTGAGGTGCCGACGAAGGCAGAAAGATCTCCAGCACTTGAGTATTGTTATCTTCTGATCGGCAACAACATGCTTTATTGATATCAACGTTCTCAGGAAGCTTTCTTGTCATCATAATTCCACTGAAAATAGGAAATCATTTCATATAAGCAAGGCTCCATGCGGTTGAACATTCCGTTCCTACTGCGAAGGCATTAACTGCCAGTGTACATCATCATATGCGAATCCCATTAGAAGAGGGTCACATTTGGTCTCTAGCATAGGAAGGCGTATGTGGTCTTCAGAAAGGTGATTGCGTGCACTCGATTTTCCTGGTCATATCCGCTAAAGTAAATCGTTTTAGGTGTGGGCCTATGATGGAAAGCTGGATTTTAGGCCAGCCCTTTCCACAGGCGTTTTGAAGCGATCGACAACAACGCGGTGAAAAAAAAGGGCGAAAAAAGAAATAGGGTGTTAGCATTTGTTGTTTGCTGAAAGAAAAACGCAACTGGTGCCGCGCCCAACCCATCCCCCCCTTGACACGCCCCATCATCCGCATAAATTGTACAGTTGCGAAACGCAGCCACTACCAACCATATTGTCCGTTTCGCGACCACATGTGAAATACACACATGTAAGACCCTCGGGCTATTTCAAGGCTGCAAATAAAGCATTTGGTACCTGTTCTTTCCTCCTGATTCTCGGTCTTCTTTACAGACAACAACAAGACGACCGTTGTGAACGTAGACGACCGTGTCTTTATAACAGTCGCCAGTAATTCTTATTACGTCTCCTTTGCTTCCGTAATGTTCCTTCTACAAGATCATAACCATCAAAAAGAGGTGATTGATAAAGATGAACATGAACTCAGGCATTTGACATTAAGCACACTCACAATGATAGAAGGCAATCGAACCACTGCTGAAGGCTCCGTCGCTGGCGTTATTTCGTTTTCCTTTGGTGCTGGATGGTCACTACACTCTACACTGTCGTTCTGACTTACATTCCCGTCGCTTTCAAAACCTAGGATGTCGTATTACAGAGAACAAGGGCAGCTCTGTCTGGAAAGAAAACTCACTCATACTGGGTGATAGAGGCACTTCTTCGTTAGAGTTGCTCGCCTGTGAATTTGGGCTACACGGACCAGCGTTCTCAGCTTGACAGGGTGGCATTTCTTGAGGTGTCTGTGAATGAAAGACTCAAATAGTATATCCAGGTCCCGATAATGTCTTGTGTCTGTATGAACACGATTTGCCCATTACGCCCCACTGCTCAAAATTTAGGCTCAACTTTAATTTGAATCAGCAGATTAGGATAGAAAATTGTATTCGGTAACAGTCAGGCCCACACACGGGGCATCTCCTGCCGCCGTGAAAAAATTGCGAAATACTGTCAGGGGCGGGGGAAGCGGGACGGCGGGAGGGGTGGGGCACACGTATGGGAAGTTGTTATTGTTTGATAACTGCTGTTTAACGCCGCAGTGCGCGATCCGAAAGTTATCACAAGAATGCTGAGTTGTGGGCAAAAGTCGGACCACGGGCGGGATTCGAACCCGCATCTTTTCCGTGCGACTGCGTTCCCTATTACGCTACCGGGGCCACTCTTGACCTCTCAGCTCAATGGCTATTTGTGCCATTGCACTCACACGTTCAACGTGATGAGCCGGTTAGCCGATATCGGCAGTGAACCGCAAGGCTGAAGGCTTTTTACAAGTTTCAAGCTGTTATTGATGTGGAAGATGCGGGCTCGAATCCCGCCCGTGGTCAGACTTTTGCCCACAAGCCCACAGACCACGAATAAACCATTAGACCAGGCAAAATGCCAGCTGGCGCAGAATACTACAAATATTCGGCGTTCACTTCTATTAACTGCTGGCTAGGGGAAGTTTACTCCCCTCCTCCCGAGCCTCACAACCATTCGGCGCCAATACGCTTACTGCTCGCTCTTCAGGCGCCAGTGTCAATAGAGGCGTGTGGCGCATATGCAGAGCGGTCATCAAGCATTTCGAGGCAGAGCTGCTGTGAAATTCGTTCCAAGGGATGAGCTTCTCTACCCTCAGCGAAAAATTCCAAAAAAATCCAACTAAACTTTAAATAATGGGATCGTATAGGGTAGATAATCCCAAACAATGAGATATCACCCAATCTCAAAATTCTACGAAGCCAACAGAACTCATCTTCAACGTTCCCCCACGAAATGGGGCTTATGGTCCCAACAGCACATCGCAAAGATGTCATACGAAAAAGTTGATTAAAATGAAAAAAGAATAAACTCATACAAATTGTAGCACTATACAGAATACTAGTAAGGTGATGAGTACCAACTCACGATGGTAATCACTCTTATATCATCGAGCTCTGACCCTCATAACTTTCTCATCTGCGAGGTGCCCGTATGAGAAGTGTTCACGGATAGCCGCAAGAGAAACGGCAACCAAAAATGGGTCAATTAAGATCTCATGGAAATCTGGAAGGCAGGTTCGGAGTTCTCCATAATTCTTCGACGGCTGTACGCTATAGAAACGGATCGGATTAAACATGAACGAACATGACCCCCTCCCGGTGTAATTTCACCCACAGTAGCGCGATCGCGAAGTCTGAACACGCTCTAATAAGAGCGAAAAAGCGTCCTTTCCCTCCTCCTCTCCTTAAAAATTTGCTGATAGCGTCAGACTAAGGACAGGGTCGAAAGCGAAAAATCTGAGCTGAAGCTGAAGGTGAGAGGCATGCTTTCAATTCTTTTCCGATCTTGGCTTCCTCTGGACCACTCAGGTAACGACTGTGGTTATATTTAATTTCTTTCGAAGTCGCCTCACACTGAACGGTTTTCTATGTATCCACCAAAAATTTTCCGGCGAAGTATCATTAGTGATAGCCTATGCAGATTACAAACTTGTTCGCTGTGGATGAGGGCTGTCAGGCGCAGAGCCCAATCCGTTTTCCACCAGTTGCTGAGGCCGATGAACGACAAAATTTTGTGGAAAATAACTGACGATTAAGTCGTTATGATATGATACAGTTTTGTCGCTTGCTCGTTTTACCAGCTGGTGAAAAATAGGTTTGGCGCTGCGCCAAACGTGACAAAACGACACAACAATATCCTGCTTGGATTTGAAGCTCTGGATCATCTGTGTTACAAATAAAATGATAGCCCATTGGTGGGCGCGTTATGTAGGGAGTCAAAAGAAGCCAGAGTGCATCACTAGCCGGTGAAATCGGCAGTCAATGGGTTAGAAACACCAGTACAACTGTTGGACAAACTCTTAGATTCCCGCAGATAACCTATCGCAGTGAATGTCAGTTGTTCTCAAAGAAATAGGAGTTTTTTGGAGATAGGTTGAGTAAACATACCGGAGCGGAAGGGATTTCCTCAGTTGGCTGTTCATTCGATGAATTTCCTGCATCTGCAGCGTCATTAGTGTTCCCGGGCGGGGGCGGTGGATTGACACCAGCTCCAAGCCCATTCAATCCAAAGGATGCCATGAGAGCTGCGTAATTGGGTAAGTTGCCATATCCACCATTGAGGAATGGAAACATAAAGCTCTAAAGCTCTAAAGTAATTACGACAACGAATAGCATATAAAGGAAGCAATTAGCAGTTTTAGCACTGCTAGGCACTGCAATGACTGAGCGAGTATGCAACTATAGAAACTACATAAGAATTCAATAATTTTGGTGAATGAAAACGGAAAGCAAAGGAGAATGCCATGACACCCGATAGGTTCGATGGGCGCCATCCGTGGAGATCCTGTCATGAAGCCTGTTCCTTTTTCCTCTGAAAGTCAAAATTGAAAAAAGAATAAAGGGCCAGTGGCGAACGACCATTCCGGGATGTACCGCACGTTCAATGACTCATACAGAATTGATAGAGTATTTGACAAATTCTTTGTTTAGAAGAGAAAAGATGGGATAAATTCTAGATGACGGGCTTTCTCATGTTAAAAACATATTTCGAAGCGAAGTGCCCGATTCCCTACCCTTACAGGCAACCTGGATCTGCAACCGCAAAGGAAGTGTTCTTTTCGCGGTTTGAAGGTGCACTGGAAGCGGGCTACAAGCTCATCATTTCGGGTCCAGGTGGCCAAGCGAATGGCTGAAAATGCCGCTGTGTCATCACAATAATGCGGCTGTAAACTTTTAGAAG